AATCTGATCAACTAATGCTTACTAGATAAGGATCAAAGGAATTTAAAGTGAACTGGACTTGGATGGTTTCTGCCAATGTAAGGACTTTAACTGATGTCAGATTTAACTTGCCCCCCCACCCCCCAGTTCTGCTGCTCTTCTACATCATGGCTCAGGATAAACTACGGTAGTTAAGGAATAAAATATTTAGATAGATAGATAATTGGAGAGAGAGAGGGGGAGAGGGAGAGAGGGAGGTTTTAAATGACTAAAGAAAAAGAAATGCAAAAACTACAAACATGCCAAGAAAATAACTTTAAATACATAATCTTGAAACTATAAAAAGAATTTCCCATCCTTATTTATAGTCAGATGAGTCACTTTGAGGGATTTGAAGTGCTTTTCCCCAGATTTTCCCCCCACCGGAGCTAAGTTGCAATTTATGAAATTTCTGTTGAATCTCAATTCCTTTTTGTTACACAAAAGTATGTCTATTGACAATATTACCATAATATTTCTATTTGAAGTTGCTAGCAAATTAAGTTATTGAATTATTTCCCTTTCATGGTCTTTACTTTTCATGTTGTGGTGCCTCAATTGCCATTCTGCTTAGATCATTTACATCACTCCCAGTTCTGGAATGTTTCACATTTTATTTGGATAAATGTGGAGAATAAACCTAATCTTTTGAAAGCTCCTCAAATAAAACCCTTTGTAAATCTGATGCTTTTAGTCACAGTATTTGGTTTTCTTTTCCTGCCTGCTGAAAAATACAGTGCAAATCAATTGCAATAAAATCCCTTTTATGTCAATTAAGATTCTCAGTCATCTAGGTTTTTTTGTGTCCAAGAAAAGAAGTCCAGTTACCATGACTCAACTTCCAGACAAAAACTTTTAAAAATATCAAAGAAGTTTAAAACAGCCATGCATCTTGCTAGCAGCCACAAAAAGGACCGAAGAGTCAACTGCATGTTAATTTAAAGCTACACATAGTAAAAAAAAAAGTTGCTGTTTTTTAAAACTACTAATAAGAAATAAAGACTTAGACAATGTGTTACATATGCCAACCTGACTGTCACAAATAATGCCAGACTGCATTTCAACTTTCTCTGTCTCATGCAAAATTTTGAGGTAGGTGAGTTGATCTCCTGGTCATGTAGGCAGGCAAATTCCCCCTTGCAAGACAAAGCAAACAAACTTTATTGCAGAACTACAGAAGGAAAGAAGGAAAGTGGCTATAAATTAAGAAAAATAGAGAATAGACCAGATTAAATTTGGAACTTTCAGGGGGGAAAAGAGGAAGTCTAGCAAATTTAAGTAGAAAGGGAAAATTGATGAGGATTTATTATGTAAATGCTAGGAACTACTCTAAGCTTGATTTCCTAACTAGAGTAGATAGGAACTACTCTAAATTAGATTTGTTTTATGTGCAATCACATCTTTCTTTCTGAAACATTTAAGAGAATTGGATTTTCTGCTGTCTTGAACCTAACCTCAGAGTATGCCTCAAAATGTTTTTTTTATTGAGACTATTCCGGTAATCTGTATGTAGAGTTTATCCATAACTGTATTGCATTGTGTTTTTCCCCCCCCAAATGAATTTTAAATTTGTCTATCCCTTGTGAGATTGGTTTTATTTCCAAAAGAGGGATGATGGAGCTGAATTTTTTTAGTCACGTGTCTTGAGGTTATACAACTATAAGGTGGAACTGTTTTTATTTTCACATTTTAGTTGTCAGAAATATAATATGGATTGTGAAAAAAATATATTTTCCATATCAGAAGAGGATGCTAGTTTAGGAAATTCAAGGAAGGTAAATGAAGGAATTTCTAAGCTAGTAGGCATAATTTCTAAGCAGGAGACAATTGGTTTATGGAGCAGCCAGTTTGAAAGTAAGGTCTTATATAAAATTTGATATAAGCTTCTATGACTCTCCATAAATCATGGATGGTCTTCCAAATTTACCTTAAATTAATCTGGAAATTAACTGACATCTCTACCTCCTTTTCTGAAATCAGAAAATCTTAAATTATTTTTCTGGACCAATCTGAAAAAGTTTGGAGAAATCTCCTTGCTCTCCTTATGGAAATGTTTTGTTCCAAAATACATGAATTTTCATATTTCCTTTCTTTAAATCAGTAATTTATAAGGAAACCCTGCCTTTTTATATTGCCACTTTTATTCTCAAATACTCAGAAGCATTTGTGCAATAGGTGATATTCCGTTGTGGAATTAGAAATAAATCAATTCAACATGGGAAACACAAAAGTACACAACTGTTTTCAAAGGAGCTCAGGAATTTCATGTATAAGTATATTAGATCTCCTACAGTTTTATGGGGTTTTTACTCCTCTGTAAAACACATATAGTTGATAAAAAAAAGAGTATGAGAAAGGGAAAAAGTATGCATATCTTATCTTCCAGGGTTCTATATCTAAGAAGGAAAGCCAATAAAAGAGATGGGAAATCTTTCTAAATTAGACTGCTATTTTGAGACTGCAAATTAGATTTGATTCTAAGAATTTTATAAGCATATATTTATTTGGGAGTGGCAGAATACCTGGCCAGCATTATTATTCCAAGAATACTCTTGGCAAAGTGTTGCTAGGATACAACAAGTGGCAAGGCCCTTTCTGGTTGCCAGGATGAAGTGCCTTCTGTTCATCCTTGAATCTGTAGAAGATGGTGGATAATGCAACAAGTGCAATTTCAAACAATATTTGTGAAGGGCTCTGTCTAGGTAATATTTTTAAAAGGTCATTGCTGAACAAGACAGTAGTTGCTTTTATGATAGTAGAAGGAAATATTGATATAATTCTACTAAATAGTATATTTTGGGGGATAAAGAATCACTTCCTCACATAACATTTGGTTTGTGGTCTAGATGAGGAAGGCAAAGAAAACAAAGGATAGATCCAATTTCTCAATGTTATAATAAATTTGGTTGTAATAACATTTGTAACAATATTTTATTCAATATTAGTAAATACCTATTAACACTGGAGTTTTGTCTTTTTGTGCTGAACAATTTAATTTTGCTTCCAAGAAGTATGCTGTCTCTAAAGAAACAATTAGGCATGAATACTCTTTACCTCAATTATGCTGAAGCAATGTGCTGCAAATGCAAAAGATGCTGCAGGATCTCCGAATTTCAGTTCCCATAACTGTTTCCCATTATTTGGTGAAACTGGGCCAAATTAAACACAGGCATGAAACCATTATCTCCTTTCTCTCTAGATTTTTAAATAAAATAAATGAAAAGTAAATTAAGTAAGGAATGGCAGAGATTATCTCCTCCTGGTCTTAGTTTTTTTAAAATCCAATTTCCTTTCATCTGTTCACTAGTTCTCTACCTCTACTCTTCCCCCAAATATGACTAAGATGATACAGATCTAGAATTTTTTAGTTTTTCCAAAATTGTTATCCTCTCATGACAGTTTCTCCACTCTTTGCTCTGACTGATAGCTTCTTCATATAAACAGGCTTATATAGTCATTCTAGTTGCACTCCAGATCTATCCATTGTATGGAATCCTCCATATACCATATACTGCATTTGCATTCTGTCCATTCTGCAGTATTAACCCTGGGAACCTCAAGAATGTTCTGGGGAAACCAGCTGGTTGCTCCTCAGCCAAAGATTATTGTTACTTACTTGCTCTCTTGAAGTAATCATCTGCCTCAGATGTGATGATGGTAGACCAGTGGTCCCCAACCTTTTGGGCACCAGAGATTGGTTCCATGGAGAGAGGTTTTTCCAAGATGCAGAGGGGCTATGGTTTCACATGCTGCCTGCATCCCATGGATGGGACTTTGCTTGTTTGCATGGCCTAGTTGCTGGCATGCCATGGACCGGTGCTGGACTGGGGGGTGGGGGGTGGGGGGGATGGGGAGGTGGGGATCCCTGTGGTAGATAGGGGAAATGCAATAGAATTTTTACATCATAGCCCTTCATTAGAGAGGCTTCATTAGGGACAAACATGGTTATTTTCCAGAATGGAAACATAGCATAAACAATAAACCTACTTAAGTCTTGAATGGTGAGCAAGATAAAGTCCAACATTTAGGATGGTATCTATGTAAAGGATAATTTTAAGACAGGCCCACTGTTCAGCAATCACGAAGGATAGCTTTCAATTTATTTGATGCATTTAACTTCATACTCTTTCCCTTTTTGCCTATCAAAAACGCATTGGTCAGTTTCATGCACCAGTCAAGTTATTTTGTTCAACAGTTGACTTATTTTGGCTATCTTGTGCTTTCTACTGTGGGATAGGTTAGATCAGGGGTCAGCAACCTGTGGCTCTGGAGCTGCATGTGGCTCTTTCATCCCTTTGCTGTGCTGCTCCTTGTCGCTGGTCGGCTCCGCAATTGATAGGGCTTTCGGTTAGGACAGGTAGAGGACAAAGGATGCCGCACTAGGAGGAGACTCTATGGTGGGGGAACTGGACTGGTCGGCTCCAGAATTGAAGGGGGGCTTCCAGTTAGGACCTTTGTGGCTCTTTGAGTGTTTAAGGTTGCCGACCCTGGATTAGATTGACAGTTGACATTGATGGGTGATTGTTGCCTCTGCCAATTCATGCATCCATAGTGTAATCACAAGAATATCACCCCAATTGATATTCTTAGTCTGCAGGGGCAAAACCTTTTGAGACATGAGATTGTAAGAAAGAAACCATACCCACCCACCCACCCACCCACCCAGTCTGCAAATAAACTTGCCTCCTTCAAATTCGATCCCTAAATGGGTGTAGCTATTCCCCGGTTATGTGAACGCTAGGCACAGTTCAAAAGCAGGCTTCGTGTATTTTAAAGCAAAAGCAGGGGGAAATTTTTCGGGGGAAAATACTCAAAATACTCCGCTGTTTCTGCGGGTTCAGTATATGACTGATTTATGGCCGCTGGGTATTTGCAGAGGCTGCGTGTGTGCGCAGTGGAGGCGAGGCGAGGCGGGCCGGGCCGGGAAGTGATCCAGAAAGCTGGGTTTCGTTTCAGGTTGGCTAATTTTATGAGATAGAAATTGCAGACACAAGGTTTTTGTTTTTGGCTTTTTAAAATGTTGTCCGTAGCTGCCCGTGCAGCGCCCAGCCTTCGACTTTTTTCCTGCAGTTTCGTGTGACCCGGATTGTCTACGAGAGAGAAAGAGAGAGAGAGAAGCAAAAGTGTTGTGAAGACTTTTCCTTGCAGCCTCCGAAGAAAAAGAAAATAGATCTAACCGGAAGCTTAAAAGAGTAACTTTTAACACTCTTGTTTTGGCGCGGGGCAGGCGAGCGGAGAGGGAAATTGCTGTTGGGTATTTTCCACTCGGGATTTGGTCTGTTTTTGCACCACGCAAGTTCTCATTTAAAGATCGAAACTTTTTGCCCTTTCCCTTCTTTGGGGGAAACAAAAAAAGATTGTACGGCTGCATGAGAAGGGACAGTCGCAGGCGCTCAATTTATAGCTGGCTGTTACGCAACCTCCCCCAGGCAAGGGGAAAAGCGAACTTGATGAAACGTAGGGAAAATAAGGAATTGCTTCTCCTCTCAGAGCTTTTTTGTGACCACAACTTCCAGCAGGCCCGGACTCCGCGCGCGGCCTTTGGTTCTTCAGCAGGGAAAGCCCTGCCTTCTTTGGCGGATGGCTGAAAGACCTTTTAGTTTAAGGAATTGAGGTTTAAGGGATTGAAAACACCTTTTAATTACTCTCTTTTCCAAAGAAAACCCCAGACTATTAAAAAGGTAAACGGGGAGGGAATTAAAGATAAAGACTGGTGGTCCCATATCTTGCTCTAAAACAAGTGTTTTTCAAACTTGGGAGTCCATGCCTCTTAAAGTGACCAAGTTTGAAAAACAGTGCTATAAAGTGAACCAATGCCATTAAATGAATATTTAGTCCCAAGAATAGTCACCTATGAGTAAAGAGCTGTGTAAATTGGTGCCCTGATCGGAAGTAGTTCAGTGCAGGGTTTAAGTGAGATCTGGGATTGAACCTATAATACTGGGCTTCCTCTGGAAGTTGTGGGCCTGTCTGTTTTCAAGGACCATTGGATACTTTTCTGGTAAGATTGTACTTCGTTTTGCTACTGAAAGGAAACATGTACCCATTTGTTCACTGGTTGTTGCTGCTTAACTCTGGGTTGTGATTTCCCCACAATGGGTTAATATCACATATGCATCAGACATTTATTAGTTGAATGGGTTTGTTGAAACCTTGGCAACTCACACTTTTAACCCTTATTCAGTCCATAGCAGATTGTTCTCATCTTCCTCTAAAGCAGATTGAGGTTAAAAGAGTGAAGGTGGTCATTGCTGGGTGATTGAAGTAGGGGCAATATCAAAATGTGGTGTTTTTTTTTGTATTTGTAAGCTGGTTTGATTGGGGCTTAGGTTACTAATAAATCAAGATGCTTCTAGTAGTGAACCTTGACTTAATAAGATGCATAAATCAGACCTGTGTGTCTTGATAAACAGGTAGCTTTTTTTTCTGATTTCACATTCTGCTTACTAATGTAATAGCGAAAGGAAAGTTTGCTTTTTAAGAAAAGGCCATCCCTCTCAATGGGCGTGGAAGGTATGGCAGGGATAATACTGTAATGTATAATAAACGCCTGAAAATAGAGGCTGTCCTGTTGAACAATAAGTTATGTTGAATTTGGCCAGGGACCAAGGAATTCTATAAGCCAGAAGGGCATTCAGTTTGCTAGGAATTCTGGGAGTTCTAATTCCAACCAATCAGGAGAAACCTGGGTTAGGAAAAAAAGAAATGGGGCGTCTCTCTTCCAGCTCACATTAGACTTATTTAAATGAATATTTAGTTACCTTTTGGGATAAGTTCCCTTGAAAATGTTACTTTCATTGGAGTAACTAACTTTTTGTAATGTCAGTCCCTTACTGTCACTCATTTTGAAGTGCTATTTTGTAGAGTTTTATTGCTCTTGCCAGAAACTCTGTGGGCTTCTTCATTTGCATACAAATCATCCCCAGGAAAAATGGCATTGGACAGAATCCAGATACTACTGATGATTAACAGCACTGAAAGGTAGGAGTAGAAAGTGGCAAGGGTATACGATAGAGTAGCCCAGGGCAAAATTTTACAAGCCAATCTCCATAGCTTCACCACAGATAAGAATAGCCATTTAGCCTACCAGAAAATGAAATTGTTTATGTAAGAATATTCAAACAAAACAATGCAAGGTGGAAATATTTAAATTCCTCCCTACTGATTCATACAAGCAAGATCTATTTATATAAGGAAACCATTGGAGCTTCTGGTGGAACAAAGAGGAACTTAAAACTAATGTCAAACAATTCAAAAGACGTTTGTATGGGTAGTATAGCTTTTTTATTATTATTATTATTTTCAGAATTGAACAGAGCTCCTCTGTGCACTTGCCACCTGTGAGAAAACAGGATGTGCTTGCCCCTACTTGGTCCAGGTCCTCAGAGCAATCAAATTAACTGCAGATCTATTGTAACAGGTGGCACAGCTTGAAACAGCAAAGATATTTTCATTCTATTTCTGCCTATTTCTGCCTTAGCACTGCAGCTACATACCAAAACCAAGAAGAGAGGAAATAGATTTTAAGACACTTTGTTAATGGGGGAAAATCATATGGTTGAAAAGAGTTTCTGACTTAGCACTCTTAAGGCTTAAGGAGTAAACCATTTTATATCCATCCTTTATAATGAAATTTACTAATAAAAGGACAGAAGAAAAAGTTGTGATCCTTCTGATTAGAGGAGCTTGATGAATAAAAAAATTGCTTTTGAGTACACATAAGTTACTTTTCAGCTAATTTTCAGAAGTACAGTTTTATATATGCATCTGGGAAATATGACAGACCAATAAATTTTGTAAATAGAACCATGTACCAAGAGAAACATGGGATATGAAGAATATAAATGAATATGTTTTATTAGGTTTTCAATATGATTGATTTTTGGAAAGAACCAAGCAGTGTTATCAACTTTTTAAGTGCAAAATTCTTTTAAAAGTGGGGAAATTAGAGATAGACAGCTTCTTTGTACATTTAATATATAAATACTTATCAGGAAAATTACTTCCTATCTCAATTGTTTAATTAGCTTTGGCTCATTTTCTGCTCTAGTAATAAAATTACTAGTCAATTAGAAAATAGTAGGAAATCCAGATATCAAAGGAAGCAAAAACATAGATATAACCTTCAAGACAAAAGATGTAAAGGATGCCGATCAGAAATTTCTAAGACCTGAAGTCTGCAAAATCACAGCCAGACAGAAAGTTGAATAACCACACAATAAGCATTTTTAAAAATTGAAGATTAACAAAAATGGCATTTCTATATTGATAATTTTCTTCCTTTAGCAAAGGCACTAATGTGATTTATAAGAATGGAGATGAAGCTGTGGAGAACTCCTGTTTTGGGCATGCACTAAGTTCCTGCATTCTTGTCACTGGGATCTGGGGCAGCGGACAATAGTAGGTGGTAGAACAGAATCAATAAACACGTTTTCATGAGTTGCTATTGAAGTTGTAAGTTTGCATGTCCCTTCACAGAAATGGATTTGAATCTGGAGTTCCTTTTTTTGGGGGGGGATAAGAAAATATACCTAAGAAATAAAGCACCACCCTTAAAGAAAGTTATTAGAATAATGGCATAGTAATTCCTAAAATAAAAAATACCTTATTGAAATATAAAGGCTTTTAATCTATATAAATTGATTAAAATATAGCAATCTCAGAACTGACATTTTTGATACTTAGCTGTGCCATAGTTACTAAAAAGCTAACCTGAAAAAAGACTGTTGAAAGGGATTAACAGCTTGTTCTAGTTACAAGCAGATGTTGGCCTCTGGAGACTACAGAGGTCTTTGGGAATTGAGTTAATTATTTTTATTTGGGGAAGGGGAAAGTGAATAGATTAATTTTTTGAGGAGGGGAGATTATAATCCAGTGCTTTCCCATCTAGAAACTGAAAAGCTGCTTACACTTTTATTATAAAAGATAGTATAGTATTTTTATAGGAACCAGGCTAGAAATCTGGAAATTATAAATTCTAGTCTTGCCTTAGGCACAATGCCACTTGAGTGATCATTTGTCACTCTCTTTTCTTATTTATTTGTATTTTGCTTTTATTTTTACAAATACCTCAAGATGGTGAACATATCCAACAATCTTTCTCCCACCTCAACAACAACAACAACACTGTTCATGGGCTGAGAGTGACTAGCCCAAAGTCACTCAGCTGGCTTTCATGGCTAAGGCTGGGCTTGAATTTATAGCCTCCCACTTTTTAGCCTAGTGCCTTAACCACTAGACAAAACTGGCTTTTTTACATCTAAGAAGAAGGAATCGGCAAACACTTTGTGCAGGCAGTTGTCAGGAGTCTTGACTGACCTGAAGAATTTTTTATATTTACATATAAATGAACAACCCTGTCTGACTATTTGCAGGAAAAAAACGCTAACCCTTTGCTGGAATTTTGTGGTTGTCTGCATTTTTTCAGCTGAGATCTAAAAGCCCTACAAGGTTTATGGTGCATTGCTATAATGTCCTGCATAGATTAGTAAAATAAAGCTAGTACAGGTAGTCCTCGACTTACAACATTTAGTGACCATTCAAAGTTACAACAGAACTGAAAAAAGTGACTTATGACCATTTTTCACATTTACGACCATTGCAGCATCCCTATGGTCATTTGATCAAAATTCAGTTGCTTGACAACTGGTTCACATTTATGACAGTTGCAATGTCCTGGGGTCATGTGACCAGCTTTTGCAACCTTCTGACAAGCAGAGTCAAGGGGGAAACCAGATTCACTTAACTGTGTTAGTAAATTAACAACTGCAATGATTCACTTAACAACTGTGACAAGAAAGTTGTAAAATGGGGCAAACTCACTTAAATGTTTCACTTAGCAACATAAATGTTGGGCTCAATTGTAGTCATAACTTGAGGACTATCTGTAGTATAAAATGTTTCAAATCCTGTTAACCATAAACAGGAATTTTGTATGCTCTGACATTTATTCTTCCTCCAGCTTTTCTCTGGTGTATTTGATTTACTTGATAGCTTTTTACTTTTCACCAAATTGCTTGGAAATGCATTCAAATTAGTAAATTATGGTTTGCATTAGCCTTTCAAAGTAACATTACTATATAAATCATGATTTAATTGTGACCTTTATTCCTGATTTCTGAGTTTGTACCAGGCTCAGGCTACAAATATAAAAATGTTTTCTTTAAATTTAATTTTAAATTATTTTTTCTTTCTTTTTTTTTAAGTAAAAAAATGGAGGGACACATTCCTAGTCAAATATCTTGCTTGTTTCAGCATTTATTTTTGCATTTTTTCACGGAAGCAAGTGGGAAGAGGATAAAGATTATTGCAGGAAGAAAAAAGTCAGCTGAGGATCTTATAGTATCTTATAGTTGTTGATTATTGATTAATAAGCCATGAGCCATATTTGCATTCATTTGGACAGCTCCAAAGATCTGTGATGTAATATTTTTGTTAGCCCAAAAGTACAGGCCAGACTAAGAAACAACAGTGACAAACAGGTCAGGACAACACTTATGGTAAGTTATAGCAACAGTCTTGCAAGTCTGAACATCCCTCCCCCTCCCTCCCTTTATCTTCAAGTGAAGTAGAGAGGGACTTTTTGAGATGTTTTCTCAAGTTATTTTCTTAGATCAAACTCAAACCCATTTGTCTGATCATTGCCTTGGTAGTGTCTGTTTCTCCTATTTTTCAGGGATGCTCCCTATGCCCTCTAGAGTTCAGTGATAGGGAAAAATAAGGGGGAAAACAGACGTTTGGGGGAAGGTTATATAATTTGTTTTCCCCAAAATAAGACAACCCCTGATAATAAGCCCAATCGGGCTTTTGAGCGCATGGCAATAAGGCCAAGCGCTTATTTCAGGGTTCAAAAGAAATATAAGACAGGGTCTTATTTTTGGGAAACACAGTATGAATATGACCCAAGGAGAAATTATTGTATTGGTGACCTCAATTGGGTGGGACTAGATGAGTCAGAATACTAAAAAAATAAAAGATTAGGCCACTTACAAATCCAGAAATGAATGAGAGTGGTGACTGGGTGAACATTTTCTCTGTAGTGATGTATAAATCTGTAAATGTGAACATGGGAAATGAATAAATTCACATATATTGATTTTGTTGTTTATGATGAAACATTGAGATAATTTATGAAGGATATAAAGATGATGAGTGGTTTTTAATATGGGGCAGACCACTCTTTGCTAATGTCAAGAATGGGTTTGGAGGAACTAGATGTGAAAGAAAAGAAATGAAAGAAATAGAATGAAATTACAGTAGCCACAGAGAGAGAGAAAAAATAGAAGTCCTGCATTAATAAATATTAGAAGGTAGTTTCATCTCTCTTACTAGAATAAATGGAAAATGAGCATAAGGAAAGAGATGAGGTCTGAAAATTATTGTCTCAAATAACAAGGTACATGTAGTCTTTGCTTAGCAGTAATTAGGACTACAATTTCTATTGCTAAGCGAAGTCGTCATAAGTGCAGTGTTACGTGACTGTGCAATTTTGGTAATCCCCCATTGCTGTTGTTAAGTGAGGACCACACAGGTTGCTAATGACTTCCAACTTCCTGCCACCTTCCCCATTGACTTCTGCTTGTGCAAAGCTGATAGGGAAGTCTGCCAATTGCAGGCACTGAAACGATAAGAAATCCAAGCCAGTTGCCAACTGCTCATATCACAATTATGTGACTGTAGGGACGCTGTGGCATCTGAAATTTTGAGAACTGGTCACACTACCTCTCATTCAGTGCTATTGTAAGTTTGAATACAGGTAGTCCTCAACCTATAACAGTTCATTTACTGACCATTCAAAGTTACAATATCTCTGAAAAAGTGACATATGACTATTTTTCACACTTATGACTGTTGCAGCATCCCTATGGTCACATGATCAAAATTCAGATGCTTGGCAACTGGTTCATATTTATGACTCTTGCAGTGTCCTGGAGTCTTGTGATCACCTTTTGCAACCTTCTGACAAGCAAAGTCAATGGAGAAGCCAGATTCACTTAACAACCATGTTACTAACTTAACAACTATGGTGATTCACTTAACAACTGAATGGCAAGGAAGGTCATAAAACGGGACAAAACTCACTGAACAAATGTTTCATTTAACCACATAAATTTGGGGTTCAATTGTGGTCGTAACTTGAGGACTACCTGTAGTTGCTGAACGATTGATTGTTAACCAAGGACTTTCTGTAGTTGGATTTGATAGATAAAATAGAACGGACTGATGCAAATTATACTCTAACAAACAGTAGATTGATTGATTGATTGATTATATGTCATCAAGTCAGTGTTTACTCTTTGCAGTCACATAGGTAGAATTTCCCCAGGCTGATCTGTCCCTAACCTGGTCCTTCAGATGTAGGTTACTTATAAAATGGGAAAGTATAAATACTGATGGGATAGAAATGAGTAGGATCTGGTCTATGGTGAGGAATGAATTTTGAAAGAAGTGAAAATGTCTCTGTGTATAAGAGCTTGCATTGGCTCTCTTTATTGTATGGAAGTGAGAGTTGGGTATTTCAGAAGAAACATGAAGTCAGTAGAATGCATGAGGAATGGGTTAGTTAAGAAGTGGTTTATGGCTAAATAAGAGAGAAGGTTTAGAATAAACTGGACAACCAGGCCTCTTTGGGTCATCATTTCAGAGATATTTCCTTACTTAAACAAAGAAACAGATTGATCAAGGACAGAGAAAAAAGTTGTGGGAGTCAGAGGGATTTCTGACTTTCTGCTGGCTTCCCCATTGAGTTTTCTGGTAGGATCTGGCATCAGAAATCCCCCTCCTGTCATAGTAGGCAGCTAAGTGGCTGCTGCTGGGAGGGGAAGGGGGTGAAGGAAGGCAAAACCAGCTGGGGAACTGTGATGGAATATTGAAAATTAAAATCACATGACTACATCAAGAGCACAACAGTTACTAGTAGCACTGAAGCAGCCACAATTTGCCCAAATTTCATGCCCTCAGGAGTCATGGGTCCCAGGTTGTATATTCTGTACATTCGTCCATTTGAGTTACCCTGATTCAAAAATGGTTGTCCTATGATACAGCTTTTCGCCAGGTTAAATGTCATGATGAGTTTTAGTGATAGATAGAAAGAAGCACATTGGATACAAAATTGGGAATGAAACAAGCACTGATCATGATGGCATAATGTTGGAGTTGCAGGGGAAATATGTGAAGGAAAAGCAAAAAGGTTGAGAAAAGGAAGAATGAAAAAAGTATAATTGGATAAGGTTGATGTGAACCTGAAGAAGAGAAAGGATAAAACTTGAACCAAAAGCTGAACAATATGAAGAAATAAGCAAATATAGTATTCATGCATAGAAAAGTATGGGAAAACTTAGTAAATAGCATTAGTGTTTAGCTGTAATTTCTTTACCTCATGCTTTATTTCTTGGGTCTGCATGACACTGCTTACTTCAAAAGAGAATTGTATCTGTCTGTTTGTGGTTATCTATGTACACAGTACATTCAGAAAGGAAACATTTATTTTAAATGAGTATTTTTTCCTTTCAGGAAAATGAAGAAGCTTCTGAAGTGCTGGACATGCTTGCCTTTCATCCTTTGCACTATCCCAACTAATTGTGGATCAACTCAGAATATCTGTAAAATCACAGATAAAACGGCAGACTGTAGTCATTTAAAGCTTTTTCAAATTCCCTCCAATCTCCCAGCTGATATAACAGTGTTGGACATTTCACATAACCAGCTGAAAACACTGCTGCCTAAAAACCTTACAAAGTACAATCAGCTTGTTTATTTAAATGTGGGATTCAATTCCATCTCTAAACTAGAGATGGGCTTGTGCCTCAGTTTACCTTTGTTAGAGGTATTGAGGCTGGAGCACAATCAGTTGCGTATATTATATGGAGATGTTTTTACTTCCTGTACCAATCTGAGAGAGCTTAATGTGGGATTCAACATTCTGAATACAAAAAAGGATCCTTTCAAAAATCTGAAGGTAAGTCCGAGCTTTGATCTGCCATTTTATGAGTTCATATGATTGTAGGTTCTACTACATTAAGGATAGCATGATATGACCATATGTGAATATGACTTGACTGAGTTATACTAACATCATTTTCCTAAATAATGATTCTTTTGACTGGTATTGATTCTCCAGCTTTTTTGATGGAGTTATTTCATGGAAGAGGAAAAGACCCATTTCTGTTTAACAGAAATGGGTTTAATGCCTTCCATAAACACTGTGATTTTTTGCTACTCAGTGATATAAGAGTGTATATTTATTCTCAAATGTCTGCTTTTATTATTTTTTTTCTAGTCTTGTGTTTCTTGTTATTTCATATTCTGCTTTAAAATATAACTGTATAATCTTACTGTATCGGGATTCTTATCCTAAATAAAGGACTTAAAAGGTTTTTTTCTTCTTGATCTTGGTGACTTAGTTTTCCACAAATTCAGTCATAGTCTTTGTAGAGCAAAAAAACTGAGCAGAAATACACTGAACATTAATGATGCAGTCAAAAAACAAGATAGCAATGCCAAAACGGTAGAATGAAATAAATTGTCTTACAGTAAGTCTTTTGAGACTGTTGCTGGTTGAACTCTCCTCTGGCCTCATATCACCTTTTTTCAATGTAGTTATCTACATGTAGTTATCAGTTTACACCAAAGGTTCACAGCAAAGGAAAGGAATTCTAAGTTAATACTGGCTGTTGCCAAGAAAAGGGGTTCTGTATGCCATTATTTTAAGCATATGATAATTGTTTAATACTCAAACATAGGCTTCTTAAACTTCTCGTTATACAGGGCTTTCTTGTGGCTTATTTTGAGGAGTTGGTTTACCATACTACGGTAGGATACTAAGAAAAGATGTAATCACAATGACTATCCACATAGGATCATTATAGAACTAATATTGTTAAGAAAGTAAGCTGTGTGTGTATGTCTAAAACACACAGACATATATACATGCCACTAAGAGTCTGTGGATTGCAATAGGGTAAAAATGTGGGGGGGAGAGAGAAAGAGGGAGGGAGAAAGAGAAGAGAAAAAAGAGAAAGAAAGTTTGGAGAGATATGGATTCTCTGGAAAATCCCTAAAGAAAATAGGTGTGGGCCAACAATAGCTGTTCCAGGGTAGGAGATGTCCATAACATAGTGTCTACTGAAGTCATGTTAATTTTTTAAAATCAAAGACAACTCACAGAATAATCATATGTTGAAGACATCAGGATCAGTTTTATTACTGATGATTTGATTTGATTTAGATAGTCTACTTTGCAAAGCAATTCCTGGTGGTAGGGCACAACGAGAACATCAATATAATGCCAAGTAATAGAAATAATTAAAATCACATAATAACTGCAGAAATGTAAAGAATGATAATCAAGGATAAACCCAGCAGTAATAAACATGTTTAGTTTATAATGATTTAAATTTCACAAATTTTCAAACTTTGTATGGGTAGGAAGAGAAAAAGATAATTAATGCTTCTCAGTTTTTCAGTAATTTAGAAATATATTTTGGACTGTAATTATCAGACTCTTCAGATCCTGGCTATTTTACATGAGAGTTGCGCTCCAAAAATGAAGTGACCATGCCTGTTCTTGTTCTTATGTAGTGTTTCTTCATTTCTCTTAAGTGTATTTGTGGACTTTAGTCTTTTGTGTCAGTGCAAGAACGTGAGGATAATTGCCAAATTAATGTTTTTGTTTAAGTATCAAATTTGCTATAACTGGAAGAAACTCTCTAGATTTGTTCTAGTTAGTGTTGCACATGGTTTAATTAGGGCTGTACAGTGCTTTGCAGTTAAAAAAAAATGCCATAGAGCATATGGATGGTACTACTTAAAGCAGCTTGCTTTTTCCTGAGATTGTGCTTTTGACTTCTAAATTTGGTGTAAAGTTTTCTGAAAGAGCTGTATGCATGCCCTGGCTGTGCTGTTGTATCAGACTGAAAGCACTGCACAGCCATAGCTTTAATCAGAAAGCCTAATATAGAATGGAAGACTTGCAACTGATGAGAGGGAAGTATAACATAGATAATTTGCTTTCTTTCTTTTCTTTTTCTCTTTGCTAGAATTTGACATTCCTTGATGTCTCTCATAATCAGTTAAGTTCTACAAAATTAGGGTCACAGCAGCAATTACAGAATCTACAAGAGCTTGTGATGTCTCAAAACCAAATTACAGAATTAAATAAAGAAGATCTATACTTTCTTGGTAACTCTTCATTAAAAAGATTGGACCTTTCATCAAACCCCATAAAAGAGGTAAACAAAATCATCTCGCCTAGATCTTGGTGGCCTGAAAGAATATGGATGAAAGCTACTTAGGAATAAACAGGATCACCCCTCCCCCCCCCCCCCCCCCCCGGTGTCTTTCTCTCTCTCACATCTCACATTATTTGCATGAAAATCCATATGCATTATGTCTCTTAAAAATATGTTTATTTTTTAAAAAATCCACATTCTGCCAACCTCTTTGCGACCCCTCCAGCCATTGCCTTAATTGCATTAAAGTAGGTATTGTCTAATTTGGACCTCTAGTTTCTGTGAAAATTGGAGAGGAAGAAATTTTTAATAATTTATTTGTTTATCAAATTTAGAAACTGCCCATCACCCTCACATAAGGACTCTGGGTGGTGTACAAATAAAATGTTAAAACATAAAAACTGTATATAAGAGCCGCAGTGGCACAGTGGTTAGAGTGCAGTACTGCAGGCTACTTCTGCTGACTGCTGGCTGCCTGCAATTTGGCAGTTCAAAGCTTATCAGGCTCAAGGTTGATTTAGCCTTCCATCCTTCCAAGGTCAGTAAAATGAGGACCCAGCTTGTTGGGGGCAATATGCTGATTCTGTAAACCACTTAGAGACGGTTGTAAAGCACTGTGAAGTGGTATATAAGTCTAAGTGCTATGCTAAATGCTATACTATTAAATTTAAATATGAGGCAAGCATAGTTAAGATTCAACATTAAAAGTTAATTAAAAGGCTTGGGGAGGACCTTCAGTGCACTAACCATCTCCACGGCTGTGTGGTCCTCTATGAGCCCCGCATGAAATGGCAGAGCCAGGTTCTTAGATATTTTTGAAATGCCTGGAGAGTAGGTGCCCACCTTGCACCTGGAGGGGGAGAAGGTTCCAAAGAGTGGAAGCAATGGCAGAGAAGACTCTCTTCCTGGAGCCCCAGTTGGAATTCTTTAAATGACAGGGTCTGCAACATGTCTTCCCTGCCTAATCAGGTGGGATGGTCTGAAGTAATAGGCAGAGATGTTTCTGTAGGTAACTGGTTCCATGTCATGAAGGACTTTAAAGGTATAACCAATATTTTAAATTGCACTGGAGCAAACTGGCACCCAATGCAGTTTGTACAGCAGAAGTATTACATGCACCATTCTCACTATACCAGTGGAAGCTTCTGTCTACTTTTCAAGCGGAAGATGCATGACTGACCAGGCACAGTGACTCCCTCTCCAGGAATGGGCATAATTGGTACACAACACAAAGTTGAGAAAGATCCTCCTAGCTACTGTACAACTGCCACCTACTCTTTGAGTAGGAGCCATGAGCCCAGGAGGATCCTCAAATTATGCACTGGGAGAGTTGGCTCAAAATTTGGGGGTGGTGATGGTGGGATCAACATTTCTGTCATGTGGAATAATTTTAAAACATTTTATTTATTATTTCTAGTTTCAACCAGGCTGCTTCCAAGCTATTGAAAATATATATGGCCTTGATCTGAACAACGTTCCATTGGGACCTGATGGCACAGAGAAACTTTGTTTGGAATTATCTGGCACAAAAATACAGAACCTTTCAATGAGCAAAGTGCAACTTTCACGGATTTCCAATTTGACCTTTAGTAGAATGAGTAAAACCAACCTTACCATTTTAAACCTATCAAATAATTATTTGTCTGTCATTGAAAATGCCTCATTTATATATCTTTCAAATTTAAAAGAACTAAATCTAATGAATAACAATATTACAAAACTGTTTTCTCATTCTCTTTATGGACTTCACAATCTGAACTATTTGAACTTGGAAAATTCACACGTCAGAATAATTGATTTGGCTTTCCAGTGGCTAACTCACTTGAATTACCTTATTATGGATGGTAATAGATTTCTGGAGATTACTCCTCATACGTTTAAAGGTTTAGAAAATTTGAAAAACCTGAGTTTATGTCAGTGCAATATAAATTCAATAACAAATATGACATTTGCTTCACTTGCAAATTCTTCTCTGCAATTTCTCAATCTAACAAAAGCTGGAATAGTTTCCATCAAGCCCAAAGCTTTTTATTGGCTAAGGCAACTAAAAATGCTTGATTTAGGTTTAAATAATATTAAGCAGAACCTTACAGGTCAGGAATTTCAAGGTCTTAGTAATATTGAAACTCTCTATCTTTCATATAACTATCAGTTGAATTTGACGAGTGAATCATTCACTCTTATTCCAAGTCTTCGAAAACTGAGAATGAGAAAGGTACGTTGCAGTAATCTTGCAATCACCCCCTCACCATTTCGTAAATTAAAGAATTTGACAATCCTGGATATGGGTAACAACAATATTGCTAATATAGAGGATGATATATTTGATGGACTGCATCAGCTTGAAATTCTTGACCTGCAGCACAATAATCTGGCTCGACTTTGGAAACACACTAACCCAGATGGTCCTGTTCTCTTTCTCAAAGATCTTCACAACCTCCGTCTACTGGATTTAGAATCAAACGGCTTTGATGAGATTCCACACAAGGCTTTCTATGGCTTATCTTTATTGAGAAGCTTGAATTTAGATTCCAATCTCTTAAATCTACTTCCCAAGTCTGTTTTTGATGATCTGACATCTCTGAGTTTTCTCTTCCTCCAAAAGAATATGATCACAGCTATTGATGAGAAAGTGTTTGGTGCTGTTTTCAAACATCTAAAAGTATTAAATATGGCTTCAAATCCATTTGACTGTACTTGTGACAGTATAGCTTGGTTTGTTAGGTGGCTCAATAGCAACAAAACATATATCTCAAATTTAAACAATTATCAATGCAACACTCCACCCAAATATCACTCTAATTCAGTAGCACAGTTTGATACTTCTATTTGTGATAATGCCCCCTTTATGCTGGTATACATTTTGTGCACTACTGCTGTATCATTGCTCATCTTTATAGCTCTGCTTGTTCACTTTGAAGGATGGAGAATTAAATTTATGTATACTGTGGCTGTAAACAGAGTATTGGGCATCAAAGAAATAGATAGACAACAACAGCAATTTGAATATGATGCCTACATCATTCATGCCAAGAAGGACATGAACTGGGTATCTAAGAACTTTATTACCCTTGAAGAAAATAATCAACCAGCCATTCGATTCTGTTTAGAGGAACGAGATTTTGAAGCTGGAATATCTGAATTTGAAGCCATTATCAATAGCATACAGAGAAGTAGAAAGATCATATTTATTGTAACTGAACATCTCTTAAAAGATCCCTGGTGTAAAAGGTAAGTTGAAAATATTTAAATAATTGCCATTTTATTTGGGTTTTTAGGGCATGTCTTTAATTTTAAAGCTGTTTCTGTGAATTGTCAGGATTTCCAGCTAAGGAATCCTATTTTCTTATGTTTAAAAGAAGGTAATAATCCTTTAAGTTAAACATTCATTCCACATATTACTGTGGAAATTTTGAGATTTTAGATTGTACCACTTAAACAGCACAGGAGTTTACTTTTCGTGTCACAGATCTTGTTCAAAAAATACCAGGTTGTGCTTTCAAACAATAGAGCTGATTTTTGTTAAATTTCAAGACTGCTCTATTGCATTTAAGAGAATGTAAGTGTGACAAGGTAAAATGTATATGAAATGCATTATTAAGGTATTTTATTTATTACCCTGTTTCCCCCAAAATAAGACATCCCCTGATAATAAGCCCAATTGGGCTTTTCAGGACATGGCAATAAGGCCAAGCATTTATTTCAGGGTTCAAAAAAATATAAGACAGGTTCTTATTTTTGGGGGAACACAGTACTTCTATTGTTTAATTACAATATGAGTGACAGAACTATTTGAGCAGGAATGTGCTATAAATTAATAGTCCTGGTTAAATTCTTTCAAACAGAAATATTCACAGGAATATAAACTTTGTCTAGTAAAGAACCTTCTTGCCAGTCTTTTGCACCTGGGTCCTGAAATTTAATTTGGGACAGGAGCTGTTTTCAGGCTTTATCAAGGCTTTGGCAGGGCTAGAATTACAAATCTAAAATCATCAGTGAAACATACAACTTGTGTCACTTAAAGAAAAATGCTGTAAGTACCTTGTTTTCTAGTCAAATCAAATCTTTATTGTCAGTGCACAACCTATGTACAATGAGATTGGTTGAACTCCCTCAGTGCACCCCCCCCAACACAATATAACTCACAGTGAAGACAGTAAATCCCTAACCCAATAAATCATATTAATAAAACACCCAGTCCTATTGCACCCGTTACACATTGTGCCAGCTCTGCAGTCCATCATACTACGTAATTATGACGTTATTTCTCATTCAGTATTCTGACAGCCCACGGATTAAAAACTGTTCTTCAGCCTGTTCGTACACCTGGCTATACTTCTATATCTCCTTCCCAATGATAGGAGGGTAAAGAAGTGATGACCAGGGTGAGAGTGGTCCCTGAATGTTATTAGTGGAAGTAACATACATAATATTTCAAGTCGTCAGGGAAATTTGTCTGGTTCACTTCTGTATGTGAGGTTCACAATCTTAAATCTTTATTGTATAAGTAAATTAGGACATGCTTGTGTATCAAAATCTACATTTTCACAACTTTTGTGATAAAGTTCACAACTCAACAGGGTGCCTATAAAGCATATATTAATGAAATATAACCCAATGCACTTTATACAAGGGAAGAACTATTTAAAATGAATTCTAGGAAAAATGCATATAAAAATGACCATAGATTTCCACTGCTTGTATCTTTTCAGTCAGAATTATGCAAAACTCCCATCCCCATTTCCCATGTAGTATTGCTATCTTTCCCTTTATATAAAAGCACAAGAACTAGGATAGGATAGGATAGGATAGGATAGGATAGGATAGGATAGGATAGGATAGGATAGGATAGGATAATTTTATTTCTATACCGCCCCTCTCCCGAAGGACTCGGGGTGGTGTACAGCCAGGTAAAAACACAATACAAATATCACAATTTAAATTTAAAAATTATTAAAAGTATTACAATTAAGGCCAGTTAGCTAAAAAACCCAAAAATTTAAGAATTCCGAATTTAAAACTCAATTATGAAGCTAGCCCTGCCTGTCGGAAGAGCAGGGTCTTAAGAGCACAGCGGAAAACTAAATTCCAGTCATCAGGCACCCAGTGCATTCAGACAGATTTTAGACCCCTTTCACCTTTGTCAATTTTGTTATGCTGCAGCCTGATTCTACAGTGGTTGAAATTATTTTTTTTCCTCTCATTAATGTACTTACTACCCCAGAATGGCAAAGTGAAAAAAGAATTTTAGAAATGTCTGTAAATTTATTAAAAAGAAAAAAAATCACATTGGCACATGGACCCTTCACTCAGTATTTTGTTGAGCACCTTTAGCAGCGATTACAGCATGGAGTCTTTTGGGGTATGATGCGACGAGCTTTGTACACCTGGATTGGGGGATTTTCTGCCATTCTTCCCTGCAAATCTTGTCAAACTCAGTCAGGTTGGATGGTGACTGTCAGTGGACAGCCATTTTTAGGTTCCTCCAGAGATGTTCAATAGGGTTCAAGTCACCCTGAGACATTCACAGTTGTCCCTAAGTCATTCCTGTGTTGTCTTGGCTGATTGCATAGGATTGTTGTCATGTTGGAAAGTGAACCTTCAGCCCGGTCTGAGGTCCTGAGCACTGTGGAACAGATTTTCATTGAGGATATCCCTCTACTTTGCTCCATTCAGTTCTCCTTCAACCCTGACCAGTCTCCCAGTCTCTGCTGCTGAAAAACATCCCCACAGGATGCTGCTGCCACCACCATGCTTCACTGTTGGGATGATATTGGGCAGGTGATGAATGGTACCTAATTTCCTACAAACATAATGTTGCCAAACAGTTCAATCTTGGTTTCATCAGACCAGAGAATCTTGTTCTTCACTGTCTGAGAGCCCTCAGGTGCTTTTTTGAAAAATCCAAATGGGCTTTCATGTGTTTTGCACTGAGAAGAGGCGGTCTGTCTAGCACTGTGCCATAAAGCCCAGATTGGTAGATGGCTGCAGTGATGGTTGTCCTTCTAGAACTTTATACCATCTCCACACAGAATCTCTGGAGCTCAGTCATGATCATTGGATTCTTGGTCACTTTTCTTACTAAGGCCCTTCTCCCCTGATTGCTCAATTTGACAGGATGACCAGTTGTTAGAAGAATCCTGGTTGTGCCAACCTTCTTCCATTTGAGAATTATGGAGGCCACTGTGCTCTTAGGAACCTCCAGTGCAGCAGAAATTTTACTGTAGCCTTCCCCAGTTCTGTGCCTTGCAATAAATCCTGTCTCTGAGCTCTTCAGGCAGTTTCTTTGACCTCATGGCTTTTGCTCTGCTACAGTATGCGTTGTCAGCTATGAGGCCTTCTATAGAGAGGTGAGTGCCTTTCCAAAACAAGTCCAGCCAATTAACCACAGGTTGATTACAATAAAGGTGTAGAAACATGTCAGCAACTATCAAGAGAAATGGGAGGAACCTGAGCTAAATTTCAAGTGGTGTTGCAAAGGGTCTGAATATTTATGCCAATGTGATATTTCAGTTTCTTTTTTTTAAGAAATTTACAGAAATTTCTAAAACTCTGTTTTCAACTTTGTCATTATGGGATACTGAATGTAGATTAATGAGAAAAAATGAATTTCAACAACTGTAGAATTTGTACAAAATTGAACCATATCCATATGTTAGCATTCCTTCACTCACAGTGTTAACACCTGCACTCTTTATCATTTTTCAATATTCTTAACAACATTTACAATATTTTTATCATTTTTTCCCTGGATATTGAGAAAGATAGCTTAGTTTGAATATTTTTGCACTAAACAGATAATTGGTAGCTTATAAAGTTCCTTTGAATTTTGGGATTCTATGGCACTAAATGATTTAAATCTTTTAAAAGTATTACTGATTCTAAATGATTTAAGATAGTCATTGCATCATAAAGATACTTACTTATGAAACTTATAAGTAAGTCTACTAAGCCAAAACATGTCTTTGTTTTCTTCAGGTTCAAAGTTTATCATGCTATACAACAAGCCATTGAACAAAGTCGGGATTCTGTTATACTAATTTTTCGACATGATATTCCTGATTACAAGTTAAAGAATGCACTTTGTTTACGAAGAGCAATGTTCAAATCTCATTGTATTTTGGAATGGCCTGTGCAGAAAGAACGTCTAGATGCCTTTTACCAGCAATTGAAATCAGCACTTCAGTCCAATAGTAGGGTAATATAATTTGTTTTAAGAAGAATATTGCATGCATTTCTGGGTTAAAATACCACACTAAAAATATGATATTGAAAATAGAAGTAAATGTAAAACCATTCTTCCAGGATTCTTTCTTCTATCCAAAATAGGAGAGTGTTGTATCCAAACATACAAAATGAATGAGTAGCATTCGGGAACATCAAATGTTTGCTGCAAAAGGCAGTGAACGTATTTAGGAGGTGAGACCAAAAATAGGGTATGTACTAAATAAAAATGTAGTTGATTTTAAATCCCAAACTAATCTCTCTCCTTCTTTTCCATGTGGTTCATGTTGAAGCTTGTCCACCAATCTTTCCAGCAATTTCCTTTCATTGCTTACTCACAGCTGCCCCACTCCTCTCTCTTCACTGTACGCCAACCTTTGTCTTAGCCACATAATCTCACCTGGGCATCCTGCCCACTAGTCTTCACATAACCTTCCTTTTCCTATTCTCTAGCCACAGTAGGAGGCTGCCATCTTGCCTTTTTCTGACTGCTCAAAACTAACTGGTCTATACACAGCAGAGTTCATGCATAGAACATTCCCAACACTTCAGTCTCTCTCCACTCTCTTACCCAGAAATAGGAGCTGCAAGTAAGTTAAACTTTTGTCCTTGCTGCATAATATTACTGGAAAAAAGAAATGTAAAGAGTAGAATGTTGCAATCATCCTGGTTGGCTCCTCATGAGAGGTTCAGATTAGAGATGACACAGGGCAAGTGTTTCTCGGGATGATAGAGCCCAGAGCTGACTCTGTCACCCTCTTTTATTATACAAGGGTATAGGGCGTATCAGAAGGCATGATTACAGCTATACATTCTCATATTACATCCGTGATACAAAGGATTTTCTCCATATCTGGACATAACTTTCACATCCTACCATATTACAGTAAATCACGTGAATTCTAGGAAAGCGATACCTAATGTAAAAACAAAACTTAACTCTGCCATGTTATCATATTTGGCTTCGTTCCCAACATCCCATCACCTGCCAACCGAGAGGCCCCGTTACCAGAGATTTACCTCAGTTGTCAGGAATGTTCTACAAGGAGATGTCTCTGCTATGCAGGCACAGCCTATGTTATCAACAAAGAGAGAACGAATAGGGCCCTTCAGAGATCATCCAATTGAATCCACTTTTCATAGTCAGATTATTTCGGTGCTAAGCTCCATACACGTGTCCAAACAGCTAAACTGGTCTATACATGTACTATGGCCACCGCATTCCCACAGTAGAATCCCAATATCTGATGCACTAGAAAAGAGGGTGTTCTGACCCCGCTCCCCAAATATGACAAACCCTCTGAAGTGAACTCAGATTCCTTTATTAGGAGTGCCAGCAACCCCAGCAAAAAGGTTCTCTCTCAACGCAGGCTAACAAGTCTATCTGGCAGGGAGATGAATAGTTGTCTGCCACATCTATTCATCTCCGCCCCCTGCCTTTTTCCCCCAGAGCTAGGGTGGGGTTTCGCTAGCAGCGGTGGCTCTTCCTCCACAAGGGTCGGCCCACAGATTTCCACTGCTCTCCTCTCTTCTGCCTTCTGCACATCTGTGCATCAGGCACTGCAGCCAGCTGTTTCTCCTCATCAACCACCTCATCAGACTTGGGGGCTGTTGACTCTCCATCTGAGGGCTGGCAGATGGCCCAGGCTCCGCTTCTCTCTGTGTGCCGGCTCCATTCCCTCTTCCCCCTCGGAGCTCTCAGGTTGCCTTGATGCTGACCCTGACTCCCACGCCTCCTCCTCCTCTGCTGGGACAAATGCAATGGGATCTAAAAGGGAGTGTGGTCTGACCATCCCTCTTATGGACAGATTTCTCTCTAACAAGACATCTGATTCCAGTTAATTTATCACTGTATTTGAATTTACATTCTCAGATATAACTGGTGACCCAAATTGGTCCTTCTAAAAACAGAATTCTTTCCATTCATGAGATGAACTAGGATCCACAACTGTTACATGCAAAAAACCATGTAAAATGTTCAGATCCTACTTCCATAGCAATAAGGTTGTTCTCACATTTTGTTTCTCTTCCTCTCCTAGGAATTAAGGATAAAAGACATTATCATCTTCTACATATTAGTAAGAGTGTTGAATGTATTTTAATCAACAGCACATATGCTTACATGATTTATGGCTTGATTTAGAAAATCTTTAGCTTCCATTCATGTTCATAACATTTTTACACAAAAGTGCATATATAAAATAAAATTGATATGCGTATTATTTGGATAAACTTGATCTTTTTGATAATAAAATTTAGAAAGAACAAAGAAGTAATGCGTTTTTTTCTCACAAATTGATTTCTCGTATAGTGACATTTTTCCAGACTTTCTGCTGGAGGGGGAGAATTTTAAAGTGACAATGGAATTTATCTATGAAACCCAGTATCAATCTAGGGTGCTACACTGACCTGATGTATTATCATTCTTATTAATCTGAATTAGTCTAAAGATATTTAATTGAGAAGTAGATCAGCTTCTGTACACTGACTCAAGATACTGTATGTTTCCATATAAGAATAATAGAGATCCTATTGCTTTGTGATTATTAAATACGAAAATTATTTATAGTCTTACAAATAACATCAGCTGGCATGATGTGATGCAAAGTGCCAATTTCAAGCATCCTTATTTATGCACAGGATGAATAATTACTATTAGGAAATAATATTCTATGGTGAACCTTTTAGGCATCAGAAGGTGCAGTTTCCTTTTACATTTTTTAAATGTTAAATTGCGTAACTACAGAGCAACCTGGGATATTAGAAATCATTGGCAGGAGGTATTCTGAACAGTTTGTCTAAGAAAGGACTGGGCATCTCCATGGGGAGATGCAAGGTGCATTTTGCGAAGAAGCCAGAGGTCCCTGTGACAGCCATTTTGTGAGAGAGCCCACAGCAGGGTCTAAAAATCCTAACAACGCTGTCTGAAAACGGCCATCTATTTTAGCAATTACTCCTAGACACTCCCAGCAATATTCTAGGCCTCTTGAGAAATTAATCGACTCTTCTCCAGGATTGGTTTCTTTTCCCCAATCCCTACCACATTCAGGTGAGGTGAGCCCTGGGAGGAGGAAGGAGTGGAGCAGTGGAAAAACACCGATAAATAAATAAATGCATATATTACTTGCACAGGAAAATGGAAATAACTGGTAAAGAGAAGCTGTCTGTTTGCCAACGGCAGAGCCTCCTCACAAAAGCATTCTCTCTCGGGCAGAAAGGAGATAAATTCTACTCCGGCGTATAGTTTCCTAATGGCCCCAAACGGACGGCCTGTTAAAAAGATGTGTCCGCGAGTAAGGGAGAAACAAAGCTACGTCCTCGGTCCCCCTTTGCGAACTAGGCTAGCTACTTCGGGAGGGTTATTTCCAAGGGCTTCCCCATTCGAAGCATCCGACGGAGGCGCAACGATAGAGCGCGCGGTCCACAAGAGGTGGCATCTCCGGGGCGGGAGGATGAGCAACGCCACAAGGTTTCTCTGAGCCGCACCCCCACCATAATCTTTTCCTCAAAACCTGGAAGCTCAGCCTCGCGCCCCTCGCTCCCGATGACGGGCGCGGGCTGCCCGGCGCCCAATGACCTCCTCTCGGCTCGTTTTTGTTTAGCTTAGCAACCGCCGCTCCCTCCCTCGGCAGGCGCCTGGGTAGGCAGAAAGGCAGGCCTACGTAACCCGGGTGGCAGGCTGGCTCTCTCTCGCGCGCGCGCTCCGTCCCCAGCCGTCTTCGGTGCAGACCCGCAGAAGGGAAGCCCCGCACTGGCCAAAAAGGAAGCCGCCGCAACCGCGACGCTTCTCTTCTGGCCGCCGCGCCTGCCGAAGTAGGTCTCGGCACCATGAAGGTGGCGGTCCTCGACCTGGCCACCGTCTTCGCAAAACTCTTCAAGCCCACCGCCTCGTCCTCCTCGTCGCCCTCTTACTCGCCCGCCCCCGGCGCCCCTCCGCCCAAAGTACAGCCTCTCCTCGCTGTCTCGGCGTCCCCGACGGGCGCCCCGTTTTTGCCCGTTCGCTACACTGCCCTGGCCTGCGCTGGGGGAGCCTCTCTTACAAGCGTAGCGGCGGCGGCTCGGGCGTTCCCCGGCGGGAGCGGGGTCGGGGCCGCGGCGCCGAAACCTTTGGCGACTGGCAGCTGCGCCAGTGGAAGCAGTTCTCCGCGCTCTGCCAGGGAGCCCGGGGCTTGGGCCGCGCCCGCCAGCAAACCGCTGCTTTTCGTCACTTTGCCCGACATCGGCGAAGAGGGCGCGCCGGACCCGGATCCCCAGGAAGAAACTGCTGCGCCCAGGCAAGTTGAGGGACCCACGATTTCCTGGCCCAACGCGGGAACTTTATAGTGGTTGACTCCTTTCTGAAATGCTGGTCGGCATTAGTCTGTAGAGATTCTCAGTCATCTGTCGATCAGAAAGGTCAGTGGTTCGAATCCGTAGTACAGGTCTCCTGCGTGAGCAGAGGGTTGGACTAGATGACCTCCAAGGTCCCTTCCAACTCTGTGACTGTTAAACTCTGTGACTGTTAATCCAGGTCATGGTTGTCCCAAAGGTGCTTTTTCAGGAGGCAACTGGACTTTCTTGTTTTTTTCTTTAAAGATGTTTCCCTTCTCATCCAAGAAGCTTCTGGCAGGATAGTGGGGAATGAAATTAGTTTACTGGGCAGCATTAGTTTACAATCAGGTGCTGAGGAGAATCATTTTGTATTTATCTAAGGTTCTGATCAATCTCAGAAAGGAGAGCATTCCCTTTACAGCTTGGAAAGAAGACAGAGGGATTTAGGTATATGTGTGTATTATCACCTCATAGTAAATTACCATTTGCGCTGCAGGATACCTTTAAGGATGCATGGCATCCAAAGTCTTCACAAACCTACTCCACTTGGTACAGTAGACTATCTTCCCTGTGTTGACTCCTAAATGGGCTCTTGTAGAGAGTTCAGGAGACCATGGTTTGAGAAGGTACCAGATTAAGGTCAGAAGAAATGAGCCCTGATACTTTAGCAATCTGTTTGGGAATCAGTAACAGTGATGCACAGTCTTATTTAAATGGTTCAAAAGACCACAAGAGCATCACCGGATAAGGGGTAGTCTTGCTGGTCCTGGTGTTCCATTTACTGTATGTGATTCAGGCCTCAAAAAGAATCAGGAAATGGAAGAACCATCTGTCATGTTGCATCAAACTGAAACTGTGTATATGGGACATGTCTGTTGGCATCTAAGTCACAATCCTTGTGGAGCAGGAACCAATGTGAGCTAGCTTTTACATTGATATTATTGGTGAATTTTGTTTTAAAATTCCTTGATGTTTAAAAAGAAAATATATCATTATTGGCTCAGCAAAGGCATATATCTAGATTTCTTTGAACTAAATTACTGTAGAAAGAAATGACTGTTTAGTGAAAACTTTCTCCCCTCCATCCATTCATAAGGGATGTAGATTACAAATTGGACTGTAATTCTATAATTAGTGGAAACCGGCCCTTGCTGTGAACAAGGGAGACCTGTTGGGTGCAATGATGCATTGTCTTGATTCTCTTTGCTGTGTTTCTTTATGTGTGGAAAACAGATAAGGTTGTCATGGAGATAAAGTGAATTTGGCATTGTTGTGCTTTCTGGTGATGCTGTAAACTATTACTAAACGAGTCTCATTGAACAAAATATAGTTTAGTTATCCATCATTAGCTTTCCTCAATCCTCTGTGCAGATGTAGATCTTAACCTGCTAGTTTCTTGGTGAATGAACTTTACTTTACTTATAGAAAGTTTTTTCTCTCTCCAAATAATAACATCATTATGGAAGGGTCCTCTTAGATTCCCAATATTTTATTGGTGGAAGATGTAAACTTGGGTAAATATAATAATGGCCCTTGTTTTCCTTGACTTTTCTTGTTAGTATTTCCCAATCTGAAAAGCCTCCTTTATCCCCTCAAGCTCCATATTTTATTTTATTTTATGTTCCTTTATCCTTCAGGTTTACAGTTTTCCTGTTGTTCCTCAAAATAGAATTTTAATAGTGACATTACAAGCTCCTGTTCCATAATTCAAGGAATGACATTTCAGACAAAATATAAAATAGGCCACCTCTACAAGTCCTAAGGTGCTAGCTGTATTCCAGCTTCACAACTGCCTAACAATACTGCAACCCTTTAGAAGTGCCAGAATACCAATAGAAACTGTAAGTCTGAAGTCTCTTCTATGTCATTGCAAATTGAAGGCTGAGAGAAAGGAGACTTGGTAGTGAGTCAGGTTCTTCCATCAATAAAAAAGCTAAGGGCAGAAAACATGCATGTCGATATGCATTCCTCTGGAAGCAGGGGAGGAGGGAGGGAGGGTGTGTGTCTGTGAGAGAGAGGGAGAGGGAGGGAGAGGGAGATACTTTGCAAAAGTTTCTGACTACTGGTTGAATTGCAACTGCTGGTGTGTAAGCACTGTATTAGACAGGCAAATTTCTGTTTCAAACTTGCTTTCATCAGACAGAAAAATCTAAATAATTTTTCAGCTCACTAAACCTCACTAAACAGAACCTCACTAAACAGATCCTTAACATACTTGAATCAATAGTTTTCACCAGATTTATAAATAAGTTATTAATTTAGGATTCAAAGAGATAAAAAAAATAGTACTTTTGCACTTTTTAATTTGCTGAACTTTGTTATCAATTTGGATTAAAATTTTATACTAACATAAGAACTTGAAACTATACCAAGTTCAGATTAATATTTTAGGTAAAAGGTAAAGGTTCCCCTCGCACATTTGTGCTAGTTGTTCCTGACTGTAGGGGGCGGTGTTCATCTCCGTTTCAAAGCTGAAGAGCCAGCGCTGTTCGAAGACATCTCCATAGTCATGTGGCCAGCATGACTAAACGCCAAAGGCGTATGGAACGCTATTATCTTCCCACCAAAGGTGGTCCCTATTTTTCTACTTGCATTTTTTATGTGCTTTCAAACTGCTAGATTGGCAGAAGCTGGGACAAGAAACAGGAGCTCACCCCGTTACACGGCACTAGGGATTCAAACCGCTGAACTGCCGACCTTTCGATCGACAAGCTCAGCGTCTTAGCCACTGAGCCACCGTGTCAGTTTAGAAGGTCTAATTTAATGATAATAACAGCAGGGTTTTTTTTCTTAAGGAGATCACTATTTTGTCTTTTAATTTGGAAAAAAAGTGGTGATGATTGATCTTAATAATTTTAGAATGAGATGGAACTTCTTACATCTGTTATAAAGAAATTGTTGTAACCTCTTTTTAAGATTATAAACACAGCTGAGGAAAACTGAGAGTTGAAATTAATGTATCTTAAAAGTGTCAAAGTTGAGAAAAACTGGTCTGGTTCAATTAATCTTTTATATATTTGCCTGATATTTTTCATGGAGACTCTAACAATTCTGAGGATTTTTAGAATGAACTGGATTGTAATTTATGGGATTGCTTTTATATACTCAAGTAAGTTAGGGCTGTAATTTTTTTTTCAAAAAAATCATTTGCTAGGAAGCAAGCTGCTGACTTTGTTCCTTATCTCTGTACCCTTCTAGATGTCTCCTTTTTATCCACCTAGTTCACCTTTGGCTATTGCTGGACACAGGGCATACTGCCAACAAACCACTGCTTTGCTGCATCCTCCTACTATTTATAATTTCTAAGAAAGTTTGTCAGAATAGTGCAGAGGCAATCTTAAGATGAAACTTATTTGTTCTGAAGCATGAGAATATTTTATTATTATTTAAAATTTAAGGAATCTGAAAAAAACAAGAATGTTTGATAGGTTCTAAGTAGAGTATCAGTGGGCATATTAATGTGGCCAACTATTGCAGTCTGTTGCAAATTTTCAGGTCAGGTCAGTTTCTCAGTGTAAAATTATGTTATTTGATTGCTTATGTCAAATATTCTTAGATGTAATCTAATCTCAGTGCATATTTATTAAGCAATCTGGTTTTTTATTTCAATTTATTTGTATTGCATTTGGTCCACAATAGAAATATCTTTATTTTTAGAGCCATTTCCAACCTTTAATTTCTAAATCCATCAACAAACATATTCAGCTTAATTTTTACTTAGAGTAGCCCTAACAACATGGATTGCCCTTAAATTAATAGCAATTCATTTTAGATTGGTGGATCTAAATATGATCGATATTTTATATCAAGTGCTCATTTGCTTTTTAACCATGCTTTCTGCTATTCTCTTGTTTTTCATGCTTTCTCTTATTACTATGACTATTATGACTATTTTTTTATACTTGGTTATGTTTTACAGAATCAAATTGATATTCTTATTAAAAAGAAACATGCTTGACTGCTTTTTTTTAAAAGAAAAGGTTATATAAGAAGAAATAAGATACACCTCTTAGAAAAAGAAAGGCTATACTATCACATTAGCATTTTTTTAATTAGACAATCCCACTTAAGCTTTAGAAGAAATGTCCTAATGAAATATTTATCATCACAGTTCTTAGCCCAAGTTCCAAGTCAAATTTGTACAGACTTCAGTCTATGCTCTCCCGGCAGTCATATGTGTGCTAGGCACCCGTTTATCTGATTAAAAAGATCTTCAGAAAGTCCTCTAGCAATGTATTAAATTTAACACTAATTTAAAAGTAAAATTTCTGTTATGCTATTGAAAATGATCCAAAAGAAGATGAAGCATAGGTTTTACCTAAATGCTTGTACAGTAAAATGAATATAGTAGAGTAGGGTAGGATAGGATAGGGTAGGGTAGCATAGCGTAGCGCAGCACAGCGCAGAATTTTTGGCCAAGTTTCTGGACACAAGAAATTTGTTCTGGTGCAGAAGCTTTCAGTGTACATGGAAACCACCAATTGATAATAATCATAGTAATACCAATAAGAGAGGTTAATAAGGAAGATAACAAGGATAATAATAATGCTACAGCCATACAAGATGGGTAGATAAACGTAGGCATTAGACAGTACTGTGAGAATTAGGTGTTCAGCAGAGTGATGGCTTAAAGCAGGAGTGTCAAACTCAAGGCCTGCAGGCTGGATGCAGCCCACGGGGTGCTTAGATCTGGCCTGTGGGGCTGCTCTGGAAACAGCGAAGGACTGGCCCGTGGTGCCTCTGCCAGCAAAAATGGGCTCCTGATCTCCGTTTTTGGCTGGGACGGTCTCAGTGGTGGAATTCAAATTTTTTTACTACTGGTTCTGTGGGCGTGGCTTGGGCATGGTGTGGCTTGGTGGGCATAGCAGGTGAAGGATACTGCAAAATCTCCATTCCCACTCCACTCCAGGGGAAGGATACTGCAAAATCCCCACTACTGGTTCTGCAGAATCTGCTGAATAGC